CCAGTGGATAAACGACTTCGTCTAATTACGTCCATGAGCAAACAACAGATCGAACAGAGATTCCAGTGCTGTAAGGACAGAAAAAGAATGACTAAGACTTTCGCGAGGATTTTGTCGTACTTCGAGCCGAGGAAACTCATCATGGAGAGTCGTCTGCAGAGAATGTCGACGTCGCCGACCTTCCTGTGGATCGGCATGAGCGTCGCGTCGTTCTGTTGGTTCGTCGAATTGGCCTGGCGTTTCTTCTCGATCTCCAGGGAGCAACGAAACGAAAGATCGCTCCAAAGAAGGGAGGTACAACTCCACCACGAGAACCCCGGAGCAAAAACAGAGATCTCAATCGTCGAGAACGCCGGGGATCCGGAGCTGGATCCTTCCTTCGCTGTATTTTCGGCCAAGAATCATGAGGTAGGAAAGTGTCACGGAAATATTTTTTCGGTTTCAATCCTAGCCGATCCATGTCATTTCGAACGAATGGGTTCCGAGGGAAGGTCCATGTTGAAATTACGTCCGCACGTTTTCATTCGCAGAGAGATATCGAAATGGAGGATATTTGACGCTTCTCCCATTCTATCAGACATGCCCACCTTCGATTCGGTTCGGTGCAGAACATCTGGACCGGAACCCACCGGGCCAATTGGGCAAAAATCAAATTGATCAAAAATTCGCAAAGTCTGGACGGATAGTGGATGAGATGAGCCTCTATCAGGGTCATCATCGAGACAGTCACAGATAAGAACTGTCTCTACCTGAATTGACGACTCGGAATAGAATTGAATGAGTCGCTTAGGCTTTAGGCACCGCTCTCGCCGCTCTTTTCTTTTCGGCTTCTTATCATGGTTTCCTTTAAACCTCGCGACATAACCGAAATTATGCATCCATGAGGAAATTATGTTCGATACCTCGGAGGATATTCTGCGTGGAGGACAGACCCGGCCCGATAAACGATGTATTCGTTCCTTCTTCAGGCACCCGAGGAACCAGTCACGAATGGTTCAACTTGCAGATCGCGACCTTTCTGTGATGTCTTGAGCCCGTTGATAAACTTCCAGATCGTGTTCAAGCGTCGATATGAACGGCCTTGAAATAGTTTAGCACCGGAACCAATTCGACGGGCAAGACCGGCGAAACTTCAGCGACCGCGTTATCTAATTCTGCCGGCGGAACGTAAGCCAGGGCAGCTATCGTCTGAGTCTTGAGCGCAAAGTCATCGTCCGTGATGTAGCGGACTCCGGAGACCTCAGCTCGCGACGCGGAGCTAGCTGTTTTAGACCAAATAGAGAAAAGATCCGTGAATGCGGCTTCCCGGTGAGAAACATCCCTGACCGTATTCATCATAGCTCGTTCAAACTCCGGGTGTACGATTCGGCTGCTTTGTCCGGGAGCGAGGCGTAAGCAACAGGCACAACGCACTCCAGCCGCTCAAAAAGGACTACGAACACCTGAACGTTCGAATCGCGTGTTTTTACAACGGAGCCGGGGGATGTCAAGAGAGCTAACTCAATATTCGGGAATGGAACGATAAGAACCTGCGAGAACGGTGGCGGGGCGAGACTCAAGGTGCCGTCGATTCACGACTTGTCGACGAAGCCAATCCAGAAGCTTACGGATTCCCCACCGAATATGAGGATTCGATCAGGGTCTCCTGAGCCGCATCGTTGCTGCGTTGGATTTCAATGGAATACGGGACCGTACGATTAGATATGAAATTCGACTTTCCGAGGATGTCAATCACCCCGATGGGAATCAAAATAAAAGCTCTGAATCTCGTACTTCAATGTTTTGCTCTGGAAATCTTTGCATGCGCACACCTTTCCGTCTCTGTGCACTTGGAGGTGCGTCGCACAGTTGGGCCAAATCGAATTTTAGGCGGACAAAAGTCCATGGAAATCGATCCCGGAATTTTGATCGGGTATGGGTTCGAAAATGTTCGTGAGACTCTGGTAGTCGCGGGGAACCATGATTACCGCATTTGCCGCATCCCCCAGCCACCCTGGCACCTGCGAGAATAAAATTGATTTTGACGTGAAAACGTCTTTAAAATGTCTCCAGTAGCCGGTCGAAGAAACTTCGTCCTCCATGTAACGAAATCTAGTCCGCTTTTGCGGGGCTGGATCTCCGTCGAGATTTAGAAGCGTGTTCTCTGGGATCCCCCGGAGGTTATAGGGGGGTCAGTTCTTCGATGCGATGAGTCCTTCTACCTTAAAAAAATTATTTGAGTGCTCCAACCACGAAAATACGAAAACTCGGAAAAAAATTGAAAAATCCGAAATTCGCAAAATTCACAAACGCCTGAACCGATCGCCGTGAAAATTCAAGGGTGGGTCCGCGGGAGCTTCAGGAACGTCATATGAGGGTCGTCGTTCTCATGTGAGGGGTCCTCCCATCATAAAAAAATTATCTGTGTGGTCCTTTCACCGAGAATCAAAGATTTTATCAAGGGTAAGACGGGAATCAATCTATATCTATATCTATATACATATATAAAAACGTATGTCTGTCTGTTTGTCTGTCTGGTGTCACCTATAGACTCGAAAACGGCTGAACCGATCGTCGTGAAAATTTAGGAGCGTGTTCTCTGGGATCCCCCGGTGGTTATAGGGGGGTCAGTTCTTCGATGCGATGAGTCCTGACCCTGATCCTCACGCTGAACTCGGAATTCAAGATAAACAACGAGAAACCTCAAGAACAAGAAGGAGTGCAGAGGATACTGCTGCTTAAGACCACAGACAAAGCGGACGACATCATCAGGCACCTAAAAAAAAGCCTTTGGCAGGTAGCGTCAGAGACACTACCGTAAGTTTGGACGTGAAATGCATTCTCGATTGCCCCGAAGGATCCTTAGGTCTTGATTCGTATATTACCAGAATCATCGAGGTACACATGATACGGTTTCGTCCGATGTGAAGTTTTCTTCATTTAATCGGTGTCCTCTCGATTCTACATGGAACCTGGACGGGGTTCCCATGATCGAGGAGCGGTCAGTGCTCGATTGTGTAAATCAAGTTCTGGTGAACTTTTTTTCCTTTAATCCTGGAGACGCGTCCCTTTAGTTTGAGAAACGCCGCTCTAATCAGTCATTGAGGCTCTCGATGTCCACGCTCGAGAGCACACCTCCCGACGCCTCGAAAGCCATTCCGAATCTCGAAGACCAGATGTCGTGACCTTGCCGAGCCATGTCGCTTGTGTGAGGAGTGGGTTCACTAAAAGCTACGAGGAACCAACCGGCCTGGGGCTGCCCTTTCGTTGGCGCCATCGCGAAGCACGGTTGTCCGTTATCCTCCCCTTCTCGCCGGGCAACTTCTCCTCCCGAATATCTCGAGCTTTCCTTCCTATTTTGCGTATGAAATGCCTACTCGCCTTCTGCTCTGCCGCTGAGCTCGGGCGTCTCGCGATCGGTCCGTCTCCCATGTTTGAAAACAACCTCATTATCTAGTCCTCCAGAGTCGTTAACAATTCTCTGCAACCTAAGTTTCATGTCTATAGCACACTCGCTTCTGGTCGCCGCCATAAACTTCAGCGTGACGGACTCACAGAGCACGCCGCTCACAAAGGGGAAGAGGTCACTCTGACTTCCCGCTCCCCCGTCTCGTGATCGATCTCGGGAGAAATAGAATGCGCTTCGTTTTCCCATGAACCTGATACCCGATTCCCTCAAAGTTCGATTCAACTATTTCATCGAGCAACGGCGGGATACTGTTGCTCAGGATAAGTCTACTTTTCATCACGATTACTTCGCATAATAAGCTGATTTTTCCGGGCATGTCGCAGTTTCGTTCAGGTCCGAAACTCTCTTGGGAACCCAATTTCAATACCCCATCCGAAGGCGGTGTCGAGAAACTCCTCTAGATCTAGATGGCTTCAGATTCTCCCTGATTGATTCAAATCAACGGTTATGTTAAAAGCATCGCGTGTGACACCGCAGTTCCATCTGGGGTGTCGGCGACCCTTCCGAGATTTCTCTCTCTGAGGCCGGTCGCTGCTCCATCATTTGCAGAACCAGATCTGCCACTCGCACACTGAAAAGTGAGGGGGAGCGATGGTGCATACAGTATTGGGGGACGGGATTTGATAGTTTATCCCCAATTTTCGATCGGTTCTCGAGAGTCTACTGTGGAAATTCCGGCGGTAATTGCTGAGACCTACATTGATTCGCCTACGAGAGTCTTGCCGCACTGATAAAGAGAGCCTGTACTGAATAAATCAGTTATTTATGCGGTTTACTACACCTCTTCGGGGGGGGGTCAGATTCGGCCTCATCTTGCAGAACCCACACTCCAGAATATCATGAGGAATATACACAGCTGTTCTCCCGTAAATTTCCATTCTACTAGCGAAAACCTCATCATAACTAGTGTCGCATTCGCAGAGTTATTAGTTATTAGATGTCGAAAGCGGACGAGATTTCGTTACACGAATACGAAGTTCAGTTGGAAATACCCCTCAGTAAATTTAAAGACGTTTCACGTCAAAAG